AGAGAAAGAGAAACAGAGAGAGAGAGAGAGAGAGAGAGAGAGAGAGAGAGAGAGAGAGAGAGAGAGAGATCTAAGTCAGGCCCCCGGGTTGTTCTCCTCTTCAGACAAGACCCAACTTCCAACAGTATACTCCATTGTTGATGATCCCCTGGTGAATTCAGAACTACCATGACCGCACTGCCTCCCAAAAGCTCAACACAAGAGTTTTTCGGGGCATTCTGGATCTGCACCATAACAGGCACCCTGATGCCATCTTCCCTGGTCCCCTCCACTTTCCTCCGAGTAGGCGTGGTGTCCTGCATCTTCACGAGAGCAGTGGGATTCACGACATTGGTCTTCCCCAGTGGCAGCTCCTACTATGTCTCATGGTCATTGTCATCATCCTGTATTTCAGCCTCTGGAAAGGAGTGAAGACATCAGGGAAGGTAATGCCTCCTAGTTTCTCTATTTTGGGGGAGGTTGGTCGTGAAAAAAATTTTTTTTTCTTGCTATCACCATATGGTGGTTGCAAAGCCAGGTTGGAATTGAGAGCACAGGGCAAGCCTGAGATTCACCTTTGATAAGGAAAACACATCCTTCTCCTAAGTGTATGTATGTTGGTCTCTCTGACAGCAGGAGTGGATGAAAGTAAATCAGGACTCCCTCGCTTCTCAAGCTCTGTGAAAAGCAGAGATGAGGGAATGGGGCACTACCAATGGCCTTGGGCCAGAGCCTAACGCTATTGGTGATGAGTGTCTGGCATATATTGAATTATGGCCTAAAACTTCAGACAAATGTTGTAGCCTATTCTGAAATGTAATCATTTACTGTGCTACCAAATTAATAAATCCCCTCTCTTAAACTTTTGAGCATAAGAGAATGCTCTGGAATATATCCTGGTTCGCACTGTAGTTTGTGTTTCCTTTTACACTACCCTTAGCGTCATCAAGAGACTACATGGTTTGGAGAAAAGAACACAGGGTCAGATGAACTGTGAGAACCAGAAGCAAGGTGGAATTCTGACCTTGGGTGACACTGCCTTGTAATGGTCAACCTCTCAGGGTAGAGTGCATTAAAGAATTGCCATTGTCTGAGGAACATCAAGGGAACATTGACCAACTGGGACCCCGTGGGGCCTAGAACTTGACAATATAGCTGGAATTGTGCTTTCCACCATTCGGATTAGCTATTGCTGTGTAACAAGCCATCCCAAAATGTAATGACTTAACCAATGACCATTTTATTTTCTCAGATGATTCCAGGAGTAGTCTGGGGTCAACTGGGCAGTACTTCTGTGTGGTATTGCTTGAGTTACATCTTCAGTCTAAGGTCGTAAACAGTACATACCCATTATGGGGGCTCATAATGGCTGGGAGGAAAATTGGAGCTGTCAGTTGAGTAGCTTACATTGACTCCATGGAGCCTTTGAAGGTTGCTCTGGCAGCTCATCTATTAGCACAGCAGCTAAGTTCCCACAGCATGTTCCATGCAGTCAACTCCCAGTGGGCAGCAACTCTTCTAATTTCTCCTCGTGACATTTTTATTATTGTCCTAATGGCCAAAATATGTCTTATAGTAAAGCCTGGAGTTCTTATGGGAGGGGAATGCACAGAGGTGTGAGTTCACCAGGGCATCACTAGTAACTGGTTTTGAAAAGGAAAGATGTGCACCAGGGTTTCCTGTGATGCTCTAGTTTTGCCTTGTTTGTCATGACTTTATGACAATAAGACACCAGCAACCAGTGAGGGTGTAATCTGTCAAGAACTGGAGGTGAAATTTCCTAACAGCATGTTGGGGATGCAGCATCAGCCCTAAGGAAATGCTCAAACAAAATAAAGATTGGGGCCTGTGGTAATTCTGGAGTAGAGCAAAACCAGTCTGGGATCACTGCTATCCTACAGTCAACATATAGTCAGTCTGCAGTAAATATTAACTGAAAGATTGAAGAAGAGTGAATAAATAAGTTTGGAGAACTACATCAAGCGTTCTTTGGAATTCAGCTTAACCTTTAAATATTCATGGACACCAAGTATACCTTAATACAAGTAAAAGATGAATAAGTCAGACAGATGCTTGCTTTAATGCTTATAGCCTATATATAGTGCAGAGGAGTTGTATATTAGCCAGTGTCTTGGATTTCTATTCAGAGACATGTATATGTTCTCTTTTAGATCAAGAGCAATAGTCTCACTCTCTTTGTGCTATACATATACTTAATTTTTTAAAATTTTAGAATTAATTTTACATTGAAAATAATTTCATATTAGATGACCAGATTATACCTTAATAGATATACAAGCTGTGGACTTTTAAACTGCCATTGAATGTATTTAGCAATTTAATTTTTTAAAAACAATTTATAAAATGAAACAGGCTCACTAATAAGAGCATATCACATACATTAACATGAGAGATACCTTGTGGAATCATAATGGCCATCTAGGTTCATGTGCAGTTTCACATGAGGTAGAAAGGGTTCCTTAACTTGGGTCATGGTCAAAAAGTGTGAGATTTTGCATTAGTGGATTAAGCTCTTTCATCTGAGACAGTTTGCTAAGATTAGGGAAAAGGTGACATTTGTGCCTGATCTGTAAAGACAGTCATGGAGAGAAGAGGAGTAAAGAAGAGGTTCTCTGTGCAAGGAACTGAGTGAGCAAAGCCACAGAGGTGTGGAAACCCCAGACTAGGATTGTTCATATGGCGATGTCCTGAGGTAAGTCAAAGCCCACCTGTGTGAACTGCAGACTAATAGACTAATGGCTGAGTGTAGAACTCCTGTCTGCCCTAATATTGCAGCCCAAGGTTTAGCTCCCCACAGCCACTGGCAAATGGATAATACCTACATCTAGTCTTGCACTCTCAGAGCAGAGCTTGAGTAGTCTGCCAGCAGAGTGGCTCTACTGAGAGGCTCTGGACTGTGTCATGAAAGGCAGGACCATAGCCCTATATTAGGGAAGTCTCTCCATGTGGAAACATGAGAAGTGAGTAATATAAGTGCCCTTGTATGAGCCAGCTGAGGCCACAGGATGCATTTTGTGTAAGTCCCCCAGTGTTCTGGCAGCTGAGATGGCAGAGGCCCTAGGCAGTCTATGTGGAGGGTATTTCTAGAATGAGCAGCTTCATTGAGGACATTCCTATGCCCTCTCTTCAATTGTTTTCATAAACTGGCTCACGAGAAAGCCAAGAGTATTGCTCATTTTTTCCCCAGAATGCTTCTGGAATAGGACACCAAACTCTCATTAGCAGGCATCCAGAGCCTCAGAGCCAGCCTGAAATGATTTGTAAACGTACGCACTTCCCATTTTGGCAAGAGAAGACTGGGCTCAGGAAAAAACAGATACACTGGCCTTTGAGATGGTGTGAGAAGGGGTACAGTGCAAGCCAGGGAAAGGGGTTACTCCAAATCACACTGACAATCATACTGGCCTACTGAGCACCTCAGGGTAAATTCTGAAGTAGTACACTGCTTGCAATGCTGAGGTCCCCAATTGTTGGAGTACCTCCCCACTCTATATACTGGAGTAAAGCTGGGGAAACCTCAGGTTTTTCTCTATCTGGAGATCAATGAAGACAACAAAGCTGGCTGGAATCCTAACTCTACCCACTTCACTGCTAGCTCTTAGGCTATCAAGGGAATGGGAATGGACCAAACTGAGTCTCCAAATTCTGAGAGAGTTGGTGGAATTGAGAAAAGAGAAAGTCAGACTGAGTCAAAAGAAACCTGAGTTCTATTTAATAGATAAATAGTTTCCTCACTTTCATATTTGAACTATGAATCTAGCCAAGTCTTTCCACTACTGTATGACTATAGGTCAGCTATAACTCTATCTCTACCTCTACCTCTATCTCTACCTTGACCTCTACCTATCTATCTCTGTCTCTCCAGCACTGGGGAGCAAACCCAGGGGCTTATCCATGCTCTGTAAGTGCTTTGCCATTGATCTACATTTCCAGCCAATGCTGTCCTTGAAACTGCAATCCTCCTCCCTTACTCTTTGAAATAATTGGGATTACAGGAGTACCCAGCTTGTCTTATTCATTGTCTTTTTTATGTAAAGCTAAAAGCTGGATCAAGCCTGGGTTCATTCTCGTGGCCAAAGATACATTGCAACATGAAAGTTTAAGAGCCAAGTGACCTGGGATGGAGCTCAGCAGAGCCCAAATGCCCCTTGTGTACCCAGTGTGCATACAGAGTGGGCAGGAGCATGAGTGAGCTATTGCCCAAGAATCTAGGAGCCACACATTAACACAAAGTTTTACTCAGCTGAACTCACATCTGCTATCAATACTGAGAACCTTCAATAAGACTTAAATGGTTTAGCTGTAAACACATATGCACAGTCAAAACAAGCTCCCCCTTCCTGATGCTTGACTCTAGTCATTGCTCAGTCATTTCCTGATGTGCTCCTTTGGGAAAGTGAATCTGTATTGGACTCTCACACATGGCTTACACAGGGCCACCTTCAGACCCCAGGGGAGATTCCCTGAAGTAAAAGCACAGTCGTGGTGGTGTTTTTTGATGGGAGGAGTGTTGTCACACCCAGCCAGCTGGGCTGGGCAGTGCAGTTGGAGTGCAGCTGTTGACATGAGTTGTAAGGGACCCCAGTTAATTAGAACCCATCACAAGGCTATGTAAAAGCTCTTCTCTGCATCTGCTGCCAAGGACTTACACCATTTGTCTCAGATGGGAGATTGAATCTAAGACCAATGTGAGCCCACCCAGCTAAAACAGGACATGGTTCTTTCCCTATTCATTATTGGCAGTTTGTCCTCTCTGTTCTTGTCCTCCTGCAAAAACAGGAACCAAAAGCCAGAGTCCATGAACCACATAGAACAAGGGAGTAATAGAGGAACAGCTGAATAACATGGAAAGTGGAGCCTTCTTTGATTCCCCCTGAGATCAGATGTGACCACTTCTGATGTGTCTACTGACTTGTTTTTCATACATTCCCTTGTCCATGTATTCATTCATTCTTGGGCTAACTAAGCCATTTAATAGCCTTGTGATTTATCCTTCACCCACTCATCCATATGTACATCTCCATTCACACCACCACCTAACTGTCTATTTATTTGATCCAGCTACTATCCAATAATGACTATGCAACCAACTCTCCATCCATCTATCTCACAATCATCTGTGCAACTGTCCAGTTATTCATTCAATAAACATTTTGAAGGACCTGTATGTGTTGAAAAAGAAGGAAGGATTTTCTTCTAAGAGGCTCATGACAAACAAAGAATCGAGATAAATCATAATCTTTAATGACAGGTATAGAAATCATGACTCTTTTTTCCTATATCTCAAGTTTTGTGTTGATCCCATGTCTTGCTAGGCTGACAAAGAACCTTATTGACCCTTAGTCATGTTTCAAGACTTTCATTTTCTCCCCTGGAAGATGTGAGGAGACTCTTGGGACTGCACAATGCCAGAGTATTGTTGGGAGGAGATATCCTGTCCTTAAGATATGCCTCAGCTGAGTCTTCCTTGGGTCTGATTCCTCTGGCCCTGATGTGATTTTCAGTTTGGGATATAGTCCTTTATCCTGCAAGGCTGCTCATGGCTACACCTGTCTATAACAAAGTTTTAAACCATAGATGTTGACATCAATTGAAGAGCTTTGGAAAAATACTGTGTCAAAGCTTTGTCTTACACCAATTAAATCATAAATTATAAAGATTAAAAATGGAGCGTTAAATTCCTTCCTGCTTCCCTTCCCCCTCCATTCTTCCTTCTCCTCCACTTTCTTCCTCTTTCTTTCCTCCTCCTCTTCCTCCTCCTCCTCCTCCTCCTCCTCCTCCCTCTCCCTGTTTTACTTTGTGATACTGGGGATCCTTCCACAACCTCCCAAGTATCAAGAATTACAGGTGCTTGCCACCATGCCTGGATGTACCTTACATCCTTATCAATAATTTCTCCCAGAGTACTCATACGTGTAGCCACAGTGTGAAGAAAGAGTAAAAGAAAAAATCCACATAAACTCCCCTGTTCCTATCTTCCTTCTCTTCCTCCACATCCTGGGCATGGTAGTGGATAGAGTGCCCTATCTACCTATCTGTCTGTCTGTCTGTCTGTCTGTCTGTCTGTCTATCTATCTATCTTTTCCTAATGAGATAGGCAATGGCCAAAGATTCTGCTTTCTGTTTCTTGGACAATGCTAAGTGGATGTATGTAATTAAGTGAATAAAAGGAAAATGAGGAGAGGAGGAGATG